GAGGGTGTTACAACTTGTATTTCACCGCTGAAACTTGCAACATAATTTTTTTAAAAAAATTTTAAAATGTTGACAATCAACGGCGACACTAAAAAGTCATTGTTGAAAGTCGACTTTCAGCAGCGACTTGTATGTCGCCACTGAAACTTGCAACATAATTTTTTTAAAAGAAATTAAAAAATGCTGACAATCAACGGTGACACTAAAAATTCACTGCTGAAAGTGTACTTTCAGCGGCGACTTGTATGTCGCCGCTGAAACTTCCAACATAATTTTTTTAAAAGAAATTAAAAAATGCTGACAATCAACAATAATACTAAAAAATCACAGCTAAAAGTCAACTTTTAGCGACGACTTGTATGTTACCGCTAAAACTTGCAACATAATTTTAAAAAAAATTAAAAAAGCTGATAATCAGCGGCGACACTAAAAAATCATTGCTGATTCTCGACTTTCAGCGGCGACTTGTATGTCACCGCTGGAACTTGCAACATAATTTTTTTAAAAAAATTATAACATATTTTAAAAATTGCTGGCAATTAGCAGCGACACTAAAAAGTCACCGCTGATTTTCAACTTTCAACGACGACAATAAAATTCGTCGCTGAAAGTGTGATTTTGATGTTGCCGCTGAAAGTCTAACAATCAGCGATGACTATATCTTGTCGCCACTGAAATTCATACTTTCAACGGTAACTTTTTAGTGTCACTGCTAAAAGTTGCCGCTGAAAGTCATTTTTTTATAGTGTAAGTGAGAAAGTTTTTTACACTTAGCTTATAAACCCCACATCACCACTTGTAAGGCTATTATATCTATAGGTTATATATTCAAGCATTCTTGGGACCAATCAAGATTTGTTTTCTGTCCTCTCTACTGCCTATCCAATATCTCAACCCTTCATTTGGCGGAATTAGATGAAATTGCTTTGACCATTAGTTAAAATGAATGGCTGAGATTTCGAACATTGAAGAGACAGGTAGTTCAACTAATTTTATTGGCCACAGAAATCAAACTACTAATAATTGATGACTAGATAAAGCACAGCTTATCACAATTTGTTTATTATAAGAGATCCATGGTGGTGACTGGTGAGTGTTGTTGGGTCATATTTATAAATACAGGTACCGATGTTGGTAGCAACAAAGATGGTAAAACTGAAGACATCATTATTTATCCCAACGGCCAAGGATTACAGCAAAGGTTGTGTCAGATGGTTTGGTTATCATGAGAGTCTATATGTGCCCTACCTCTTACATTCTATTCAATGTCTTCTCTTGCGAATGGTTCCTCATTCTCTTGTGAATTGGTATCTCATGCGACAGCATCTTTACATGCGTAAAAGAGGACTCGCCAGGTATTCCAAACTCAAAGCATTACAAGCATCTCAAGTAAACGACAACAATTAGAATTTCAATATATTATATAGATCTGCTATAAACTACTGTTATTAGATGATGAATGAAATAAACGGAAAGTTCTCTGTTCTGGTTTTTTTATTTGTTGCTTCTAAGGAGAGTTTACTACGACGTAACAGGCATGTTATGATGCAATGTCTGATTACAGTTATTATTATGTGTGTTTCTAAATATAAATATCAGACATTTTATTAAATATAGGGATTGTCTGTATGTGTGGAGAAATTCTTGTACATAGTTAGTGCACCACGTCATTCATATATCCTATATTCAATAAAAACATGACATGTCAAATAGATGAAATTTACAAAAATAAATTGATATTGCCATATATTGATAATGAAAAAAGATAAGAAGTTAAATATACATTTTATTTATCATTAAAAATAATTACACATAAAATTTTATTTGACTAATGTATTATGGATTAATATTTTTATTAGATAAAGTATGGATGATACAGTGTACCGAGTTCATGTGAGAATTTTTTATCTGGTTGTTGGTTTTTGTTATGTCTCATTTATTTGACTTTGACTTCTGTTCTCCAGATTGGGTTTGCGAATTTGACTGAAAATAAAAACCGGCAAAACCAACCAGATAAATAAGTTAGAGAGTTCAAATACTTTCGCTGAGAAAAAGAAAAGCTGCGAATCGGGGATAAAGAAGGTGAAGGAAATTAAAAAGAGAGACATGTTTGGATGATACGTGAAGACGTTGAAAGTTAATAGAAAAATAATTTTTTTTCTTTTCTTTCTTTTTTTTTAATATATCAACAAAGTAGCTATATATAGGTTGACAAAATCTCCTTTGTGCCGTTAACCAAGTGAGATTTATAAGCTCCAATTTTCTAACTCAGTAAGAAATTATTATCATTTGTTAGTTTTCCAAAATTGTCTCTAATTAATTGCTTCAATAATTCACCTGCTCGATAATTTTGTGGCTGGAATGATTATTTATTAGTTGATAGTGAAAGAATGCCTTTTGGAAGTTTGGAACCAAGATCAACTATGCACTTTAAAGCTTTTCAAACTTGTAAAATACTCCTTCTGAAACATAATATAACTTAATGTTAACTAATTTACTTTTCTAAAAAAATTGTTAAAATCTTAATTTTCTACAGATTTTTAATCTTTTCAATCGTGCCCTTAAATATAATAAATATAACATTTGACTTATTCTAAAGATTTTTAGTAATTATTTGAGTGAAATATAATAAATAAAGGATATAATTAAAAAATATATGAAACCTACTAAATGCACTATAATTTAAATCAAGTTAAGTTTCTAAAAAATGCTTTATATTATATTATAACTCAAAGCAAGTAGTTAGTAGTCGAATATTAATAATATGAAAAAATATTATTTTTGATTCCTACGTTTTGCTTGAATTTTAGTATAAGTTTTTACACTTTGTTTTAACGTTTTAACTTCCTACACTTTCATTTTCATTTTCAGAGGGCCATTGATATGATAGAAAAAGTGTTAATAATGTTAACATATTAATTAATACCATTAATTTTGTTCTCAAATGTCAAATTGATGTTAATATGAAATTGGATAAGCCAATTTTTTTTTAAAAAAAAAGCTTATATGGAATTTGTATGTTTTGCTAATTGTTTAAAAAGTCTAGGTCAACCTTTTTATTTCATCTAATATAAGCTTTTTAAATTTTTGCTTATTAAATAATTTCATCTGAGCATCATTTTGGCATGTAAGTACAAAATTAATGATATTAATTGACATGTCAATATTATTAATACCGTTTGTATCACGTTAATCTCCTTTTGAAAATGTAAAAACTAATATTGCAAATGAAAGAAAATGTAGGAACCTGAAATATTAAAAATAAAGTATAGGAACTCATATCAAAATTCAAATAAAGTATAGGGACTAAAACTAATATTTTCTCTAATAATATTAATATTGTGTGTTAATAGTTGGTCACTTTTTGTGTATGTTTAGAAGTGACATTAATTTGTAGGTAGTTATTATATTGTGTAAAGCCAATAATTTAAACGGGCTTAGATTTCATAGAAACTTATGAAAGGGCCTGAAAGACTAAGTCCGTCTCAAATACTTTCAAGCTTCAAGCTTATTTTGGACTTGTTTGAATATCCAAATTATCAAAAAAAATTACTTTTTAAATTCAATTTTAAAAATTAATTATTTTAATTATTATATTTTTAGAATACCTAAAAAATTTAGAACACTCAGTATTTTAAAAAATTAATATTATTTTAAGATATTTTATAGACTAAAAATAATAAAAAAATAACAACATTAATATTTTTAATTTTATTAAAAAATATATAAAATAATGTACTCAAATATATAATTTTTTTGGTATTATAAAATGAATTAAAACTCAAATTTTTAGTTAATATTTAATATATATATATATATATGTATATTTAAAATAAATATGGTATCGGCCTCAGCAAAAACTTATTTTTTTCTAATTTGTCATTCGTTTGAATGTTCAAAATTGGGCCGGCAATTGAAGATCCAAGACCCATAGAGAACGTACTTGGGCCGAACAATCAAGATCCGAGATCCGTCCAGTTTCCAAAACCGTAGCTTCTTCAACCATCCCACAGATTTTCAAGACCTGTCAAGTTCAAACCGTCGCTCTCTCCAGTCTTGCCCAAATTTTGAAGCAGATCTCATGCGTCCGTTTCACAAATCACCATCGTTCGTTTCTGGCTAACCTCTCAGCATATTCACGAGGCCATTGCTCAATCGCGACCCTCCTCGATTGTGAAGAGTATATGTATCAGATAACAATTTTTAAAAAAAAGAAAAAAGTAAATAACCTCTCAGCATATTCACGAGGTCGAATCCATTGCCCTTTCGCAAGTGAAAATGGTTCCGTGGTGATAGTTGGTTTGTTTGGTGGCCTTTCTGCATCAGTTCGAGTAGAATTCTGTCACAAGTTTCACATTAAAAAGCTTCACAATTGATATAAAATTTATAAATATAAAAGATTTTTTCACCCAATAGGTTAAATTTTTAAGATGGGTTATTTCTTTAAGCTTGTACTCATAATAGTGCTTTCATTAAAACATTAGTTTTAGAAAAAGGACTATCTATAAAAGGTTTTAATTGATGGGAAGTTGAATGAAGTGCCGTAAAGTGAGTTCACTATGAACATCCACTTTGCAGTGGTTTATGAGGATTCTCCATATGATAAATTAGTCTTTTAAAATTAACTCTCTCTTTATACTGTACTTGCAACAGATCCAAAGTCCAAACATCATAATAATAATAATGAAGAAATTAAAGACAAGTCATCGTACAAATACGATGTCGTACGTTCGTGGTTCCTCCTCCTTTCTGCTCCTTCAATTTCTCTTAAAATCCAACACTTCGCATGCAAGCCAACTGACTCAGTCCTTTTTACTTCAACATATTCCTATTTATGCTAGTAATTTAACAAAATTGGGACAAAAATTCGGATCTCCTCTCATGAAAGTTGGATCAACTTGATCAACAACTTCTGAATCTTCTCATCAAATATAATTTATTCCAATAAGTCCATATTCCAACTAGTGAGGTTCCTCTTAGTTTAATCAATCTGTATCATAATGGAATTGAAGTGGCCAGATATTTTCCTGGTGGCAACATGCTCCTTAGGATTCATCACTCTTCTCAAAACTCTGACATCACTTGTGAAGTGGGTGTGGGTTATGGTGTTGAGGCCACCCAAGAACCTCAAAACCTACGGCTCATGGGCTATCGTCACCGGTTCGACCGACGGAATCGGGAAAGCCCTTTCCTTCGAACTGGCTTCCAAGGGACTCAACATCCTTCTGGTCGGTCGAAGCCATAAGAAGCTCGAAGCTACGATGAAGGAGATAAGAGATAAACATGGTGACGAAGTCGAAGTGAAGCTTGCAGTGATTGACTTTGAGAACGTTAATGGAGAAGAAATAGTGAAGAAGATGGAGGAAGCAACGGAAGGTTTAGATGACGTGGGAATTCTGATCAACAACGCCGGCATAGGAGAACCATATCCGAGGTTCTTTCATGAGAATGATCCTGAGATTATTGATGCTGTCGTGAAGGTGAATCTTGAGGGACCCACTTGGATGACAAAGGCAATACTTCCAAAGATGATGAAGAAGAAGAAAGGAGCCATTGTTAACATTGGATCAGCTTCTGCTTCTGTAGTCCCTTCCTTTCCTCTCCACACCACATATTCTGCTACAAAAGCGTAAGTTCTATCTATCAACCGATTAAAATTAGTTAAACCTCACTTACGATCCATATATATATAATTATTGTTATTATTACGTTGGCTCCACAGATATGTTGCAATGTTGTCGAAATGCATCAGTTTAGAGTACAAAACGCAAGGAATTGATATCCAGTGTCAGGTGAGTAAAAAGAGGATGTATGTGAAATATGTTATTTTGAGTTTTGATCAAAGTACAGAAACCAGATTCATCATTGAATTGGTCGAGGTAAAGGTTCAAGATTGAGTGACCTAAATGTGATTAAATCAAGATCAACCTAGTCATGATTAAAAATATACAAAAAAAAAATTCCATATAAAACCTTGAAAAGAGTAATATTTAAATAAAAAAACACAAATTTACCATCATAAATGGATCTTTCATATATAATCCTCACATAATCTAACAAAACACAGTTATTAAAGCACAAATATGACAGATTTCTATTTTTTCTGTTTTCTTTAACTCAAAACGATGTCATTTCAGCTTTGGCAAGGAGAGAAAAAAAAAAATTCAACTTGATCTACCTGTCTAAAACTCTTGACTAGGAGACTAGTTCATCAGTTTACTGGACAACCTGGATTGAGCTTTAATGTCATGTCTTGATTCAATCAATGGAAATAATTAAGGTTGTATTTTGTTTTGTTTTTTTTTGTTTTTTTTTTTGGTGAAATGTAGGTACCACTGTATGTGGCAACGAAGATGACAAAGATGAAGGCGTCTCTATTGGTTCCATCTGCAGAAAAGTACAGTAAAGCAAGCTGTGGATGTATAGGGCACGAGAGAGAGTGTGAACCTAATTTGGTTCATTCTCTACAGCGACTTCTCGTTGGAGCTCTTCCTCATGCCTTCTGTGATTGGTATCTCATGCGTGCCTTTCTTGCCCTGCGCAAAGAAACCCTTTGTAAGGATTAATTCCAAAGCTTCATAATTGTACAACTTCGTGGTTTGGTTATTGTGGATTTTCATGTTTGTGTCTATATATATAGTTATTATATATCTCATTGTATGCTTTTGAGTTTGTTCTTTCTGATCTATTATGAGTCTGTGTGAATGTATTGGAACTAAGGGCTGACGTTATATATATGTAATGGTGGGATTTTTATCGTATATGTAAGGATTTTAAATTGGTAGGTGATTTAAATCTGTTAAGGGGGACATACTTGCATCTACCATCGAGGGGGCAATTAGCCCCACTATTGAAGGAAAGAACATGTAAGATGATCCAAATAATTTAAGTTTTCCACTAAAAAAATTCACTTGTTCCTTTAGAAAATTTCATTTATCCCATTAAAAAATTAATATACTAAAATGTACTATAATCTTAAATAACTATATTTTTAAAAATGAAAAAGTAATAATTAAAAAAATATTTGTAAAAATTTTTATTGCAAAAAAGGTTCATAGATTCTATTTAATGAAAATATGATCCAGATGGAAAAAGTTATTTGTATAAAGAGAGATTTTTTTATCTTATTATAATTTTATGTTTTATACAATTTTTTAGTATTTAATTATATTAAATTATATCGTTGATATAATCTAATAGATATTTTAAATAATTAAGGACCCCCTAAGGATATTAATCCCAATTAAAGACCATAAAATTTTAACATCTCAATTAAGGACCTTGGGATAAAAAAATGTAGTTTATCTTAAATGCTCCTAAGAAAAAAAAACCAAATTATGTTGAAATTTCAATTATGTTATTTTCACAATATACGTTAGCAATTTTTTCATGTCAAGTTAATGAATTTTCAAGTGGCGTTAGTCAAACCCATCTCACATTAATGGATTTCAATTTGAACAAGTCACTTTTTGTTAAACAATCAATTTTCAAGTGAGATTTTATTTTTTCACAATATACGTTAGAAATTTTTTTAAGTTAGGTTAGTAAATTCTCAAATAGCGCTTTTTATTTAACAATTAATTTTTAAGTGGGGTTTTATGTTTTCACAATATACTTTAAAAATTTTTTTCAAATTGAGTTAGTGAATTTTTAAGTGACACTTTTTGTTAAACAATCGATTATTAAGTGAGGTTTCATATTTTTACAATATACGTTAGTACTTTTTTTAAGTTGGGTTAGTAAATTTTTAAGTGGCGTTAGTGAATCTCACTTCATATTAATAAATTTCAAGGGCATTTAAGATAAACTATATTTTGTGTTCCAATTAAGAACCATGGGATTTCAAAAGTTTATAGTCCTTAATTGAGATTAATGTCCTTAGGAATCCTTAATTGTCATTTTTCCTATTTCAAATTATTTTTCAAAATATTAATATTTATTTTAAGTATAAATTATGCCTTCATTAATTTGTTTTTCAAGATCCACCCACTTATTCAACAAGTGTCTCAATTATAGTCTTTACTTTTTATCAATATTTAAAAATTATCAAGATATATTTCTTTTTGAAAAAACCATTCTCCCTATTAGAATACACATCTCATTAAGTGAACTAGATCTAGATCTAATAATTAATACTTTCTTCAATCATATTTATAAGACCTTACTACTCATTGATCATTAATATAAGATCATTTATAAAATTTAATGAAACATCTATAATATTATGTAAATAGCATCAGGTGGATACTGTATATCTACAATACCCACCCAACTTTTTTTAAAATTTGTTGTTTTTTTTTTGGTTAATTTGTTATTGTTACAGATGGGTATTGCTCAGTACCCATCCGTGACCTTTTCAAAATTTGTTATGAATGAGTGTTGTAGATCTATAGTATCTATCTAACTTTTTTTACTTTTTTTTTAATTTTTCAACGGTTTATAATAAATAAAAAAGAAAAAGAATAAAGTGGATCATGTAGTAAAAGAGATACATGTGAGATATATGATTAAAAATGAGTAAAATATATTATTTATTTTTATCTTAATTAATAATATTTCTCTTATATTTTTTGAAACCTATATGAATATCTTTTAGTGTGAATAGTTAAGATTTTATTTTTAATCTATGTAATCATTAGTTAACTATGTTGAACTAAAATACACCTATTTAAATATAAATGTTGCCTAAAAATCATTTAAATTTCCAAAAAAAGAATTTTTTTATCTAATTGTATTTATTTTGTAACTTTTTTAAAAATCAAATATATAAATGAGTCAAAAATATATATTTAAAGATGCAGTTTATAAACTCAATAAAGAGAAAAATAAAATAAAATAATTTAAAGTAGTTAATCTAGCCTAAATAAATCCTAAAACTAGAGGTGTCAAGAGTTAAATTTAACTATAAATTTTTTATATGTGGGACCCATAAAAAATTAAATTATTAATATGAAACTTACAATTAAAAATGAGTAAAATATTTTGACATTCCCTTTGTTTTATCTTAATTAATAATACATGTTTTCTATTTTTGGAAACCTATATGAATATTTTTTTTAATATAGATAATTATAAAATACAAGCCTTCCTTCTATTTTTAAAATTTTATTTTCACTTACCTAACTATTAGTTGACGTAAAAAAGTAGATGTGTGATCCACCATTAAAAATATGGATGCGGGACCAACATTTATAAAAGTTAAAAATTTAAACAATGTATAAAAAATATGAAGATTTCTATATCTTGAAAAATCATGTAGAATTCATGGTAAAAATTGGTGGTGAATATAAAATTTTTAAAATTTGTTATCAATTTTTAAAATTTTATTTTCATTCAATTAACCATTAGTTGACCATTAAGTTATATATGTTGAACTAAAATGCTCTATTTAAATATCAATATTATATGAAAATTATTTAAATTATTAAAAAATTAATTTTGTAACTTTTTTAACATGTTAAATATATAAATTGGCCAAAAAAATATTCAAAAACACAGTTTCTGGACTCAATAAAGAGAAAAATAAAATAAAATAATTTTTAAAAATTTGGGATAGTTAAACCAACCTAAATAAATTTAAAAGCTAAAGGTGCAAAAGGTGGGCTTGGCTATTGATTCTTTTATATGTTTATACATTTTAAAATCAGTATGAATTGAGGATCTAATGGGAATGGAAAGAATGTGAGATTTTAATAAACTTAACTTTTTAAAAATTAAAATAGTGTGATTTAAAGAAATGGTTTGTAGACCTACAATTAAAAAATGTGAGTGGGGGAATATAATTTTAAATTTTAAAAATTTAGACAAGATGTAAGGTATAATAATTTTTTTATGTTTTCAAAGACCATGGTAAAAATAGTATGTGTTAGATTTGTAAAGAAATTTCTAATGATAAAAAAGTGGTCGACAGACCTATAATTTAATTAATAAAATTAAATTAATAATTATTTTAAAAAATAATTTTTAAAAATTAGTTAATGGATGATTTTGTTAAAGAAAATAAATAGTATAGTTGTGGGATTCGATAAAAAAGTATATGTGTAATCTGCCATTAAAAAATGTGGGTGTGGGACTAACATTTATACAAGTTAAAAATTTAGACAATATATAAAAAATATGAAGATTTTTATATCTTGAAAGATCACGTAGAATTCATGGTAAAATTTGGTGTGAATATAAAATTTTTAATAAAAATAATATCTGTTTGATATGCAAAGGAGTTGCCAATAATAAAGAAAATAATTGTGGAACCTATAATTTATGTAGGATTTATAACAAAAATTATATATGGATATAAGATTCTTAATAAAAACAATAGATGCTAGATATGTAATAAAATTTAAATAAACATAAACACAAATTATATTAACTAATTTATGTCTAATTTCATTAATTTTTCTATACCTACATGTTTGAAATATTATTTTAATAAACTTACTCCATTCATTTAAAAATATAAGGTAATTTTTAAGAGTTATTTCTCAAGGTTTGGATATTAAAAAGTATAAGATATTTTTAATTTTTAAAGGTGTAATTATTTTATAGTTAAACATCCAATTAAATAGTAAATATAGAAAGATAGTGTTAATTTAAAAATAAATAACTACTTTATTAAAAGATGAGATTTAATTAAAAATAAATTATATATTATTCCCGTAAATTGCATAGGTTATAAATTTTAGAATAAAATATTATACTAAATTTTGATATGGACAGCAAATTATAAAAAATATAAATTACAAGAAAAATTCTTAAATAAACTCATATTTTATATAATATTTCTTTTCAACTTGTGAAAATAGTATAATCTAACCTTTGATGTTAACAAAAAAAAAATTTAATCATTATTTGATTAAAAAATTACCTTAAAAATTATGATGTAATATATTGTTATTTATTTTTATTTTCTAATGATATTAACATTTTCTTCTTACTTTTTTTTCATTGTCCTCAAATTGAATAAAATGTTAAACTCCGTGTATCACAGGGTTAAAATCTAATTTATGACTAATTTCCAAAAATACAATTGTCTCTTTATAATAATGGCTTTTATCATCATTTCTCCCCAATAAACTTTACCAATTAAAGAGTTGTTTCAGGAAAGCAGTTAACATGACCTTATAAAAAGGATCAAAGTGAGTAAATTATAAGTTTGTTGGATTTATTCAGTTAAGGAATCAAGACTATCTAATTGAATCACGGAGATCTCATTCAATTTAGATCTAGTACGTAAATTTAATTAGTAACCAAACATAATTTGACTTGATTAATTTGAATTGGATGATTAATTTCAGAAAACAAATAACTCGTCTAAAATGTTAAAAATTAATATTGAAAATGTTTCTAAATTGAAAAACAAATGATCAATCGAAATGGAGGTGTCCATTGTGGAATCGGTTTCTTTCCTTTAAGGTGCCCCTCCACTACCCCTCCTTTCCACTATAGCAAGATGTAGATAGTTTAGATTAAATCTGTAAAATCATAACAAAATGTTGATAAAGAATGAATGCGTTTAGTTGGGAAAATTAACTTTTCTGCATTTCTAAAATCTCCTCATTATAATTCAGTTTAACCAGTTAATCAAAATTC